TAAAGTGTCTTCAGTGTTGTCAATTCATAGTTTTCGTGGTCGTCCTCATGTAGCTTATCTTCTGAGATGTAGTGCTACGTCAGGATCTGAACCCATGGCCTTCTGATCCACAGGAGAGCGTCTGGTCGCTGCATGACGGCGTCTGCCTTTGAGTGTACGTGTACATGCATATGTATGTGTGTAAGTGTAACAGGCCCAGGGCGGCTGTTATATAAATTTTGATTAGGCTTAAAGCGAACCAAAAAACCTGTCAAACTTGGGGTCCGAAAGTGATAAAAGATATGGGAGCTTTCCCTTCGCTCTCTGAGGCCTCTGCTGTTCTGACGAGTAGCATGTAATTCTGATTTTCCCGGGTTTAGCGCGAAAAAGAAAATGCACGTAACTGATATAAACAACAAAGTCAGTAAATTTTGTAGAAGCTAATAAGACTCAGAAAGTTTATCTCAGAGCTGCCTGTGTTTTCAAACTCAAAGAAATAAAAATTATGTCGATTTATGTCAAGTAGAAGGGGTATCGAATACAGCATACTGACCTATATACAATATATTAATGTGATGCTCACCAGTTCTACTTCTCTTGTGGTTTCATAGGATAACGGCCATGTGGGGACCTTGCTACCTATCTATATGTTTGTTCTCACTATTTTTAGTATTGTTTTATCTTCTTCTTCTTCTTCTTCTTCTTCTTCTTCTTCTTCTTCTTCTTCTTCTTCTTCTTCTTCTTCTTCTTCTTCTTCTTCTTCTTCTTCTTCTTCTTCTTCTTCTTTTTTTCCCTTAGCCTTCTCCTTTTTTTCTTTTTCTTCTTCTTCTTCTTCTTCTTCTTCTTCTTCTTCTTCTTCTTCTTCTTCTTCTTCTTCTTCTTCTTCTTCTTCTTCTTCTTCTTCTTCTTCTTCTTCTTCTTCTTCTTCTTCTTCTTCTTCTTCTTCTTCTTCTTCTTCTTCTCTTCTTTTTCTTCCTCAGCCTTCTCGTTTTTCTCTTCTTCTTCTTCTTCTTCTTTTTCTTCTTCTTCTTCTTCTTCTTTTTTTTCCTTAGCCTTCTCCTTTTTTTCTTTTTCTTCTTCTTCTTCTTCTTCTTCTTCTTCTTCTTCTTCTTCTTCTTCTTCTTCTTCTTCTTCTTCTTCTTCTTCTTCTTCTTCTTCTTCTTCTTCTTCTTCTTCTTCTTCTTCTTTCTTCTTCTTTCTTCTTCTTCTTCTTCTTCTTCTTTCTTCTTCTTCTTCTTCTTCTTCTCTTCTTCTTCTTCCTTCTTCTTCTTCTTCTTCTTCTTCTTTCTTCTTCTTCTTCTTCTTCTTCTTCTTCTTCTTCTTCTTCTTCTTCTTCTTCTTCTTCTTCTTCTTCTTCTTCTTCTTCTTCTTCTTCTTCTTCTTCTTCTTCTTCTTCTTCTTCTTCTTCTTCTTCTTCTTCTTCTTCTTCTTCCTCCTCCTCCTCGTGGCTTCTTCCTTTTCCTTCTTCTCCTCCTCTTTTTCTTCTTGCTTCTTCTTCCTCTATCCGCCTAAAAGAAGCTGTATTTCGCCAGTTCTTCCGCCTCGTGCACTTTCCTACCCAAGTGTTACTTATATACGGAGCCAATTGTATGACTGGTGGGCCCCTGCCCCTGTTTCCCCGTACCATGCCCTCTACAGTTCTTTCCGTTCCGCTGCGACGTTCGATGTGGCCCAAATATTTCAGTTTCCGAGAAGAGAAGATGTTTATGAACCAGTCTTCGTCGAAGTTTAGACTTTTAGAATATCAATGTTTCTATTCTTCTTTATCCATCCCACTCTTATAAACTGTTTATAGTATTTCACCCCAAAAGCTCACATCTTCTTTTTGTGAGATAGCTTCGTTCCGTGATCCTTAATTTCTCAGGATTAAGACACCCCTTCCCTCCACCAAAAGTGATACATAAATGATATCACAACAACCTGCCACCAGCACGTTCATAATACCCTACATGCTGATGACTTTGCAGTTTGGACAGACTCCGAATACACTACCACAGCCTCATATCTGTTACAGAAAACTGTAGAAAATGTAGAAGCCTGGACCGAAAAGTGGGATCTAAAGCTATATAATTCAAAAAGCACAGCATCACTTTTCTCTCCCCCCCCCCCCCCCAAAAAAAAAATATAAATTTGGATTAAAAAAACCCAGCTCATTCCACAGACTGACACTCCTACCTTTCTTGGCGTTACACTTGATTCGCGACTAACTTGGAAGTCACACGTAGAAGCAGTACAGGGAAAAGCATTCAAGAAGCTTGTAGTGATGAAAAAATTAGCGGGTACCACATGGGGCGCTAACTCCAGAATCCTAAAACAAGTATATACTGGAGCAGTTAGGCCAGTCATGGAATATGCCTCCACTGCATGGGCTGCAGCAGCCAAGAAAACAAATGGAAAACTGGACAAGGTTCAGAATATGGGATTAAGGATTGTTCTCGGAGCCATGAAAACCACCCCCACCAGAGAGATAGAGAGGATAGCAGATACTGAACCACTCGAACTCAGAAGACAACACAAAACTCTTTTACAGTATGAGAAATTAAAAAGACTTCAAAGTCATCCACAGCATTTTAAATTTCAAGAGAGAACAAAAACAGACTGAAGCGTCAGAGCCCCAACCACCTTGCTAGAGAACTGTACAGACAACACCAAGATCTGCTTGAAAGAGATGTAGCACTGTGCGAAAAACTTAGGCCAGAACCATGGACAAGCAAGCCAGAGAAGGCAAATGTAGTCCTAAAGGTACCAGAGATCACTTCAAAAGATGCCCAGACCGAGACAAAACAGAGAACCCTGGCTCTTGCTATGCTTGATGAGAAGTATCCAGACACCACTTGGAATATACATTAAACCCCCTAGCAGTAGAGCAGAAGCTCTCTCTCTCTCTACCAGCAGGTGACATCTGCACTAACTTCAGAGCTGAGGCAACTGCCCTCCTTTCTGCAGTCAAACATCTCATCACTCAAGAACAGAGGGCACACAATTGTTATACTTAGTGACTCATTGTCTGTTCTCCAAGCACTATCAAGCAAAAAAACAAGACAAACTAATTGCAGATCTAAGGACCAACATTGGCTTACTCTCCAAGGAAGCAGAACTGGTCTTGCAGTGGATACCAGCCCACTGTGGTATTCAAGGAAATGAGAGAGCAGAGTTGGCAAAAGCTGGGAGTAATCTTCCACAACCTCATCCACCACACAGCTACAAGAAAAACAAAACAGCGCTAAAGCAGTCTTTAGCGGGAGTGGAGAAGGCAGAATGGAGATTACAGACCAGAAAGTGACAGCATAAACAAACTCAACAAAAAAGAACAAACATAAATTTTTAAACTTCGGACTGGACACTGTGGTCTTCGAGCACACCTGTACAGGATAGGCTTAAAAGAATCTGCTGCTTGTGATTGTGGAGCAGAAACACAGACCCCTGAGCACATACTGCAGTACTGCCCTTAACTCTCCCAGCAAAGACTATGGATCTGGCCCAGGGGATCCACATTGCGAGAGAAGCTATGGGGGACTGGTGGCGACCTCAAACACACAATCCTATTTTTGACCCAGACGGGACTCAATGTTTAGCATGACTGATGTCGAAGGCAGAAGAAGAAACCAAAAGCGATGAAAACAGACATTAAAGATTTTCAGACAGTGTACTGTCTTTGCCAAGAATAATCCATAACACAAGAAAACAATGACTAAATAAACGGAAATTTAGAACCAAGCGTAACACTAACAGAAATTAGAAAAGCTGGGAGGAGAGTCGGCACAGAAGCAATACTGAATTTTATAGCTAAACAGCAAGCCAAATGGTTTGGCCATGCAACAAGACTGGCGTCAGACAGGGCACCACAGAGCAATGTTATGCAGGTCCTTAGTTAGTTAGTTAGTTAGTTAGTTAGTTAGTTAGGTTATCCTCATTGCACTCCGGACATGTCCATAGGTGCTCAGATCCTCCCCTCGGTATGAACCCCAACGTCCGACGGTTAATAGTACCAGTTCTATGTTGATTAACAGGTCTTCTGACGTGTCTGGTGTGCGTCTCGTTTTTTGCTGTGCCGATCTTAATTCCCAAGTCTGCCATTCTGGCGAGTGATGTGGATTCACTGCCACCAAAGTCCTCTATCCTTCCCATTTCTCTGAGGGCATTGATAATATCGGCATGATCCATAGGCTGACCGTCGGTAGTGATAGCGGATCCAGCCAACCTGTCAGCTCTTTCATTTCCATCGACGCCTGCGTATCCCGGAACAAAAATAAATGTGACTCCACGCACAGTGGACTTCTGTAATGATTCAAGCCATTGTCTTCGCACTGAACCTGCCTGAACCCTCCGGATCATACTCATGCAGGTCCTGCGGTAACATAGCCAGGGGTCGACTACGCAAATTATGGGCAGTACAAATATCAGAGACACTCAAAAGTACTATATACGATTCGAACAGGGACCCGTTCCAGAGATCTCTTCTTACCCCGACACCGTGGGGCATTCGGGAGTAGAAAGAAGAAGCCTAGAAAAATAATGGTTTCAATTCAATATTAATTCACCTTACCTTAACACTTCTCTCGCTGAATGGGTCTAAAAGCTTAACACAATTCTAATTCTACAGCCAGACGTGAACAGTTCGATACATTTTGCTTACCTGATAAGATCTTCAGATACGGATTGGGGTGGGTAAGTGTAGTAGGAAAATCGAATATTCGCGGGCTCTAGCTTAAAGCCGGTTCTAGATTTCTGTACTATAAAAATGAGTTGTAACAGGTTAATGTATTGTGTTTTTTTGGGGGGGTGGGGGGGGGGGTTATACTTTTTAAATAATTCCTTTTTACATTTAAGTATAATTTAGTTTACGGGGAAAAGCTCGTTGAAACGGTACTATACCGCCTTGTTAAACGAAACTGCACTTTCTGATTACCAGATGCAAAAGAAATAGAAATGACAAGCTGAAAGCCAAACCAATTTTATTAAAGCGAAGCCAATCAAAGGCTCGATAACATTTTTCATCCATCCACATGTAAACAAACAAAATGGAGAACGAAGCAACAGGAGCGCTTCGAGTCAGTCAGGTAGTGTGCAGTTCTTGTACAATTCTCATGCATGCAAGATCATTTTATTAAAATTCACGGCTTGTGTAAGACGAGACTGCCTCCTAACGTGATGGTGGAACACGATTTAAAGACATGATTGAGAAGGGGGGGGGGGGGGGGCGGGTGTGTGTCACTATGGAATAATCAAGAGAAGGAGCGATTTTCGCCCACTGTTCACTGTCACCTCACACTGTGATCATAGTTGTAACTCTAAGTAACTGATTAAGAGTCTCAGAGACTAAAGAAAGAGAACGACGCTTTGACAATGAATTTTATCATTCACTACATCTTTTTCTTTATCTTTGTCTTTAGCATTCCGAGCGATTGCGGTTCATTTCATTGTTGTTACAGTGAGATATATGTATCATACATGTATGTCATGTATGTCACATGCATATCGCCACACCTCTAGCCCCCTCTTTCTCCCCGCCCCGCCTCCTTTTTTGCATTCTTGCGATAGACCTTTTCTTTAAAGAAGGTGACACTTAGTGCTTGTGTGTCTGCACATTTTGATGACTATTTCTGTATGTGAAACTGATAGTTATGATACATGTGAAGGTAAGAAAAACAGTAAAGGACCCTTTTCTATGTTCCCATCTCCAGGCATATAGGGCTAAATCTATATTTTTTAGACCAATCGACACTGTTTTGGTGATGGTGTCAAATCTTGTGGGTTGCCTTTATTTCTCAGAACTCTGCCTTGTACCCGTTTAAGGCTCGGTTGACCTGGGAGCCAAGGTCATTTTTGAAAAAAAGTATGGCATTGTCAGGACCTAAACTCCCAACCTTCCGATGCACAGGCAAGCATCTAGCCTAGTGGTTCTCAACCTTCCTAATGCCACAACCCTTAAGTACAGCTGCTCATGTTGTGATGACCCCGCAAACCATACAATTATTTTTGTTGTTACTTTATAACTACAGTAAATATTGGTTTTTCTGATGGTCTTAGGTGACCCCTGTGAAAGGGTCATTTGACCCACAAAAGGGTCTTGACCCATATATTGAGAACAACTGGTCTAGCCGCTACACCACTGGGGCTGTCATGAAACATGTATCCTAGGCAAACTGTTATTAGCACATAGATCTGTGTTTGCATTGTCTTCCCTTTGCTCTTTGGTCATTGTTTTTTTTTTTTGCGATCTCTATAGCAGTCGGTCAGCTTTGTGATGATACTGACTGTATTTACCACTTTTTGTAGCATAGGCCGGGAGAGGTGAGTTTTAGATTCTGAAGATTTAGGGCTGCATGGTTAGTGTTGTCACCATGGACTGTACAGGTTAGAGTTTATTTTTACCTCCAATAGACAACAGTCCATGACCTTTCTGGGGATTCAACCCGATTCTTCCGCATTAGAGCCCAGAGCCCCTAACCGTTCGGCCGGCCACTCCTTATGGCCACATAATCTCATCTAATTATGTGACTATTTTTCTGTTTAGCCAGCTAGATGGTCCAAAAAATGTATCTGATAATTTAATTGTTCTGTTTTTCATCCAGTATTTGATAATTTAACTGTTACTTTTTTTCATCTTGTATCTGATAATTTAACTGTTACTGTTTTTCCCCAGTATCCGATAACTTAACTGTTACTTATTTCCGCAGCTGGATGCTTCAGAACTGGATCATGAGATTGTTCAACTGACCAAGTCTCAGATCTCACAGCTGTTCAAATATCACCAGGTATCGTGAATATGTTTCCGTATATTACCGTGGCCTATTCGTGAAGCAAAGAATATTAACACTGTAACCTAGAATGTCTATCATAAAAGGTGACTAAGGAGGGATGGGGTGGTGTCCGAGAAAGGTGGCTGGATGAAGGGATAAATGAATAAATCAAGAATTGTTGAGATCGCTGCACTCTGTGGACATTCTCACACGTGTTCAGTCTCCTTCCCCTGTAGCCAGGAAAAAGTCAACATGCTAACAGTACCAGTTTTCAACCTGATTTCACCCTCAGTGATGAATATCCTCCGGAACCTCTGCTCAGCCCTTGAATAAGTCTTTCAGGGTATCAATACTCTGTCAGCCATACCAGATTTTCTTACAGCGACTCGCTTCAGTTGCCTCTCTAGACATCGACAATATGTCATATTCAGACTAAGGACATCTCTCCATACATAGACAAAATGTCATATTCAGACTAAGGACATGGAACAACATATTTCACCTACATATGTTCCAGATTTTTGTTGCAGGAAACGTGGAGATGTGTCCCTACAACCTGGCACCTAAAAATGCTGAGCATGTGCTCTAACACTGTAAACTGTATGCTGCTTATAGAGAAGCCATCTGGCCTGTTCCAACCTCAGTCAAGACAAAGTTGTATCATGGATCGGCAAAGGAGGCAACCATGAATGGTGGAACAGGTGTTTACACTAAACATCCAGGTGGAACTAATGTGTCTCTGGCAGTCCCCACTGGACAAAATTGCTCCATCTTACAAGGCATAACTCTCAGCCCTGTTGATGGCAGTGCTGTAGATGAACAAGCTGCAACCCTTGCAGGCTGGATGATTTTTTTCTCCAGATTTACTGTCAGTTGCTCTAAAGGTCAAAACTACTGATAGCACACAGCAAATTCTAACAAAAGAACTTCCTGAGTTTTCAAAAAAGGCGGAAACTCACATGCAGTTTTTTTCTATTTTACTGTGACGCCAAAGGCAATAAAATCACTAGCTGTTTAGTCAAGAAAGACAGCAGTAACAAACATACCAGCACTATCCCTTTCCAGAATCAAAACCCTCATAAAGAGAAAATCTAAAACAGATTAGAAAACAGACACAGGTTATAACCATAAAAAAAAGGCCTTAATGATCTGAGCAGAACAGACCAAGTACTATATTTACTTTACACACTAGACTGCAGTTTCAATGTATAAATTAGGTATGAGCTAAACAGCTCTTTATCAATGTCTTCATGCTGAAAAGACCCCAGAACATGTCTTGCAAGACTGTCCTCTCTTATAGAAGCTGTGAAGCAACATGTGGCTACACTCAGTGAACCTGACAACTAAGCTTTGAGGAACATAAGAGACCTTTAGCTGACATTCCAGTTTATTGCCCCCTGTGGATTAAGTTCATGACCAGAGATCGCCGAAGAAGTATGATGCACAGGGGGATTAGAACTGCACAGTAGCTTTCATCAAGGCCACTGACCTCCTGTTATGAATCTTTTTGGCAGGAGCATTAAAGAAAAAGAAGGCATGCATTGAGTTGAGTTAGGAACTGGCATTAGAGCACCCTAGAAATTCGCATAAATGCTCCATCCTCATCATCAGCAGCCAACCAGAGTTCCAGTTCCAATGGTACGAGTAGGAGTCTGATAGTATGTCCGCCTTGCCTTTTCCAAGAATGTTGAGTTTCAACCAGATGCCCTGGTTACTTCCCGACTGCTCCATCCGCTCGAGGCTCTAATAATTTGTTTGCACCTGCTCATTAAAGAGGGCAAGAGACTGAAAACTTTAGCTACACAATCCAGCCAGTTAGGAACAAGTCTGAATGGCTTGGCATGAGTTGCTTGTGGTTGCCTGTGTGGGTCCCGAGGCCCCATTATTGGTATGAGAAAAAGACTTATTCCCCCTCCTCCCATAAAAGGCAGCTAATTAAGGGTTTGCTAAAATTGTATGTTGGGCTGAAAGGTGCAGATACTACAGCCTAGCTGTAAATCACAAAAAATGTCAGCTGCCCTTTTAAGGTGACCGCAGAAGAACAAGAAAGTTAAGGGCTGATGCTTCACTGGGGTAATGAATGTGGTGGCACTTTTTATAATTTTGGTTGCCTTTGAACATTAGGAATAATATATTTAACTGTAGTTACATTATGTGCCATAGTGAGTTCAGTAAGCAAAAATTCACACATATTTTAGAGATGGTTAATAAATGTTATTGAGACAAAAATCTACACTCTTTAGAGGAGAAGCAAAGAAGGAGGTTAGTAAAGTGATTTAAAAGAGAAATATTTATTTTCGCTTGAGAATAAATGAATAAGAAGAAAAAATTTTGTCAGGAAGCAAAATAGCTATGATCTTTTTAAGGATAAGTATGAAAGAAAAGTTAACTAAAGTTGTGAAGAGAAGTATCTTTACTGTAGTAAGCAATAAGTTTTAATAAATAATCTTTAGAAGAGTAATATCTCTTTTGACATTAATGTATTCATTTTTATTTCTGGCTGGGAAGTCCAAATATTTGCTTTTGTCTCCTTTATTGTGATTAAAAAAAAATTATGTCTAATGTTATTATTATTGATTGTGTTTCAGAGCACTTTTCTGGCTCATTTTGATCCAGAAATCCAAGCTGGCATCAAGCTTCTCTTATGGAAGGTAAGTGTATCAGCTTTCATGTTTCTTAATAGTTCAGATAGATACCTGGACGGCTTAGCCAAATAAATGTATAGGGTGAGACAAGAACGTTAACCTGATCCCTGATCATGTGAGATAGAAAAACATTACATTCTGCATACGTCAGCATGGCACAAGATGATGATATAATGCCAATTTTATGAGATTTTATCTACCCTTTGCACGCTTGCCTTAAACTTTTTACATGAGTATAGTTTTTAAAAGACTGTTGCAGCTTTCATCTTCTGTTTTTTAGTGTTCACTAGCTGTAAACTTTAGTAACACGTGCTCGGTGTGCCACACAGGAAAAGGTCCTTTACTTTATTGTGTCTGCTATTGGTAAAGAATTCACAACGAAATGTAGTTTAGATGCTGAATATACTGAGCTGTACAATATGTGTACAGAAAAACTTAAGGATAAATTGCTCAGTTCCATGATTGTACGAAAAGGGTCAAGGATAAAGTGCTCACTTACATAACTGTACAGAAAGAATTAATGATAAAATGCTCTCATCCAGGATTGTACAGAAAGGGTTAGTGATAAATTGCTAACTTCCATGATTCAACAGAAAAGGGTTAGTGATAAATTGCTAACTTCCATGATTCAACAGAAAAGGGTTAGTCATAAATTGCTGACTTCCATGATTTTACAGAAAGGGTTGATGATAAGTGCTCACTTCCATAATTGTACAGAAAAGGTTAATGATAAAGTACTCACTTACCTTAATATTTGTTACTAGTTTGTCTGTAGTCTCTTCAAATAGATCACTTGCTCTGAGATCCTGGTAGGACCATCGAAGACTAGGGAGTGATGTAGAGGTTGTGGCGAAACGCTTGAAAGAGTAGGCTTTAGTTGAAAATTTGGGGGTCTGGGGTTTAAACTTTTTGACCATAGTAGTTTGGAAAGGTTGCATTTTTGGCCAGATGCTGTGTATGGCATTTGAGCTGGTACTATCTTGGTAACTGGGCAGTAGTTCCTCACTGATGCCTCGGTCCATTCCTGGGGGATTTTCATAGAGAGTGGAGACATCAGGAGTGGAAAGTGATGGAAAGATGCTGGTGCGAAAAAATGATTTGTCACTTTTGAAATCATCATCATCATCATTAGGCATCCTTTCTTTTTCATCATCACCGTTTTCACTGACACTGCCAATGTGTTCATCATCATCATTGTCGTCATTATCAAAATATTGTTTGCCAGTCAAAGCAGTTTGTTGATACATTTCATAGTCTCCAAAAGTTGCCAGTGTGTTTTTTAGATGAGTGTTGTAAAAGTCTTTTTGGTCATAATATGTCACATCGGCTTTGTCGGTCATGGTAGTTTCTTCAAATGTTTCTGGGGCTCGAGATTTATCTTTCCTGTCATCAAACTCAGTATTGTCGATGTCCAGACCTTGCCTTGTTGGAACAAACACGGAAAATGGCATTGGAGATTCATTATTGTAAAAATCTTCAAGATTATCATCAGTCATTCTATCAGTTATATTATCTTTGCCAACTGTAGTCACTTCAATGATATCTGTGATTTCTTGAGATGTCTTTTTCGGTATATCAAGCTCTGTATTAACAGCATCTAAATTATACTTTGCTGGCGCAAGTAGTGGAAGTGACAGACTAATTTCTTCTTCTTCACTGCCTTTGTTGCCACTTTGGATGTCAAGGAAAACTGATTGATTTTTATAAATGATGCTTTGGTCATCTTCTTTGTCAGTTGAGGTATTTTCTTCAGTTATATCTGGGATTCTGTCAAGTATATCTTTTGTACCATCGGATGCAGTACCATCAATGTCCAAATGCTGTCTTTCTGGAACAAACTTGGAAAGTGGCGATGAGGATTGAGAGTTATAAATGTTTTTTTGGTCATCATTCGCCTTGTCATCCTTGTCATTTATAATCTTGTCATCAGTTATATCTGGAATTTTATCTGGCTTATCTTTTATGCTGTCAGGTACAATCTTACCAGTGGCCAGATATTTTGTTGGAACAAAAACTGAAATACTAGGTTCCAGTGGAGCGTATATGGTCTCACCAATTTCAAGTGTAATTGTATCTGTTTGGTTGTAGTTGGCTTCCTCCTCCACTTCTTCTTTTGTTTTTATCTTTACTTGTATGTCTGTTGCCATTGTTTCATCTGCTTCAGTTGTAGCAGCATCCAAAACACTGTCTTGTCTTCTTGTCTCCTCTACTTTAACTTGCTTATCCTCCCCTTTGAAATTGTCCTGTGTTTGTTTACTTCCTCTTTGGCTGTCCTCTTCCACATCCTTTTCCTTCTGTTCCATTTCTTGCTTTTCCAAAGAATCTTTTTTGCTATCTTCGCTGTCCCTTCTGCTAGCCATATTTAGGCTGTCTTCACTGTCCCTTCTGCCTGCTATGTTTAAGCTGTCTTCACGGTCCCTTCCGCCTGCTATATTTAAGCTGTCTTCACTGTCCCTTCTGCCTGCTATGTTTAAGCTGTCTTCACGGTCCCTTCCGCCTGCTATATTTAAGCTGTCTTCACTGTCCCTTCTGCATGTGGCACTGAAGCTGTCTGCACTGTCTTGCCTGTCATCTGCAGTACTGACAGCTCTCTCAGTATCATCCCTACTGGCTAAACTGTCAGCCTCCCCCTCAATCTCCTCTTCTATGGTGCTGCTTTCAGGTGTTGACATGTTTGTTCTTGAACACCTGCTGTCTTTTTGTGTTCGTGTACAGCTGTTGTTAGTTTCTGCGCAAATGTTGTTAGTTCCTTTACAGCTATTGTTAGTTCATTTACAGCTGTTGTTCTTATACTGCTGTTTCTGGTTCTTGGCTTCTGTTTGTGGTTTTTGTAAAGCTGCTGCTAGTTCTTGCTCAGTTTGTTAGTTCTCACACAGTTGCTGTAAGTTCTTATACAGCTGTTGCAAGTTCTTTGCACAGCGTTGTTAGTTTTCCTGAATAATTGTTACTTCTGCCACTGCTATATTACATTTCTTTGTTGTTTCTTGTTAATTTACAAATTTCAATACTTTTCCTCCAGTTGGTAATTATTCCTCCGATCCTGTTAGAATACAGCTGTTGTATATTTTTTTTGCAGTTGATTATTTTCACTGCAACTGTTATTTTCCCGGGAGTTGTTTTAGCTTTTCAGCAAATACTGTTAGTTTTTGTCCTCTGCTTAAGATGCCTGAGGATAAATGTTGTCATGTCAGTTTTGATATTGAAGATTTGTAAAATTGTATAAATGTATACTTTTAAACATATAAATTTATATTAGTGATGTATGTATGTGTGTGTTGTTGTTATAAACTAAAACTACACCAAATTAAATCTTATGTTTGGCCATTCTTCTTATAATTCTTGCTATGTGGTCTTGTTCATAATACATGTTCCAGTCTTCTGTCTTGTGTACTCCCAATCATATCTGATACAAATATTGCTCAATGCCATGCTGCCAGTCTGCCTAACTTGCTCTTTCTTTGTCTCCAACTGCCACACCTCCCCTCCAGTTATTCACTTGTTATGACTAACTGACGCTGACACTGACACCTTCCTATGACATGTCCAAAGAATGATGATTGCTGCTTCTGTTGTGGGGAACCAGTTCTCTTATTTTTCTTCTTCACTTCCTCTTTTACCACTTCAGGTGTTAAGGGAGATATAACGTTCTGCTTCTTGCTTTTCCTTGACCACAGACTGATCATACTGTTGTAGAGTTTCTCGGATGTTACCTGTCTGTCTTGATCTACCCCTTGCTCTACATCCCCCTCTTCTTTTAGTATATGCCTTGTATGGTATAGCATATTAGTTCTCTTTGTGAGTTAATTTCTTTCAACTCATCTTCATTGTTTAATAGTTCTATAAAATCTTCTTCTTTGCATTCACCAGCAGCTGTAAATGCCAGTAGAAAGTTCTGGTTGTTTATCCACTTTAGAACTTTGGTCTTATTCTAGAATTTGAATTATGTATGCACATCCATTTTACAAATCTGGCTTATTCACATGCAGCCTGTTGGTTTTTCACCTCTCAGGCAGATGCGCTCTGGCTTTGAAGAAAACATGTCTAATCAGTTGCCTGGTATGATGTGCTTTGGGAAAAGGGGGGGGGGGGGGGGGGATTTAGTAAAATCACCTCTTAACAGTGTCTACATGCATGTCTAGATTTTTCTTACGATTCTACTCACTGTTCATGTTTCACTTCCATACGTCAGTAATAAATATTCTTGTGTATAGTTATATATGTAATATGTGGAGAGGCGTGATCCCCCGTGCCAGTCAACAAGACACTTGGTGATAGTGTAGGTGGTGGGGAGGGGTGGAGCACTTCCATAAATCAGTTATATTTATGTGTGTAAGATAAGGATATTTAATGATGTGGGTATACATTATTGCTCATGCCAGTCAGCATGACACTTGATAATAGTGTGTGTGTCTGAGAGAGAATGAGAGTAGCACTTCCAAGCCTCAATTAGAAATATATTTATGTGTAAATATATAAATAAGATATAGATATTAAAAGATGTAGGTAGGCATGATCACCCTTGCTAATCAGCAAGACACTTGGTGATTAATTTCGCAAGAGAAATAGGGGAGAGAATAGCAAAGTAATTAGCCAGCTTTACCCCTAGCCCAGCGTCCATGTTATCATAACCCCATCCATGTGGAGATTTTTCCTAATTGATCTGAACTTTCAATTCGACCCAGTCTAGAATTGTTCTCAGAAAATACCCCTTCATAGGCAACTTGTTTTTCATCTTAGCAAGAATGTGTTTTTAGTTTATTTAAGTTGGCTATTTGTGTAATTTTTTAACATGCTTTTTTATTAAGGTGGGTTTTGACTGATTGTTCGTTATGTACTAAGTGTTATCTGTAATTGCATTGCTTCATTTTATTTCTAGCGGTTTTTATTATTTATATTGGTTCTTTGTAGTTTCTGTGTTTATGTTTACTTTGTTTTGTTCCCTGGCATGGTGAGGGGAAAAAGGGGGGGGGGGGGGGGGGGGGGGGGGTTTGTTGCTGTTGTTTTGT